GATTAGTAAGCACTATTGGCAATCACAAATGCACTTAGTCATGTGACAGGAACTTGAAATAATGTAAAAGTCTCTTGTTCAATCTACTCCAGTCTAAATTCGTAATAAGTTTGAAATTCGTAATAAGTTTGAAATTATGGAGTGAGTGAAATGTTGCCGAATGCTGTCGACATGAAGCACTTAAATACAAATTTCCCTGTTGTAAGACTGCTGACCTATATCTGTTCAATAAGCCCATGAAATTCAAAATCTACCCGGTTGTGCATTGATAACACCAGCTGTTGAGGAAAGCTGAAAAACAGAAAAGAAAGTTTCCATACTCTATTGTGATGGGGCCATATGTTGTAGACTTGGAGCTTTGTTAGCTTCCTGGGGTATACTTTCAAATGAAATATCTGGTTGCAAGAAGGGGATATATGTCTGTCTGAACAAATTTAATTCATGGAACAGCTTGCAGAAATAGTTTTCAAAAGGTTTTATGGGAAATTGCAAGGCTAACAAAAATTTGTTTGTTTCTGGTATAGGAAACTCTGTAAAATCTGTTCAAGATTTTGTCATCATAAATTAATCATCATTTTTTTAGTAAAAGCGTTTTTAGTACTAATCTTGTTTTCTGATAGCATCAAGATTGCCTTGAAAGATTGAGTCAAAACATTTTTGTACTGATATTTAATCCTGGAAATGTATGATATGTTATTTGAATAGATACATCTACAAAATGCTTACTTTAAGGTACTGCCAAATCATTCTTAGCTGACATGGACTCAGTATTTCTAATATTAGGTCTGAGAGACAAATGTGTAAAGCCAATTTTCTGGTGTCCCCCGCCGTAATATTGCTGGAATATTGCTAAAAGCAGCGTAAAACCATACTCAGTCAGTCAGTCAGTCAGTCTGAGTGAGAGACACCCTATAAATATTCAAGAACATATCAAGTGGTTGATAGTGTAAGCATCAAGAACATCAAAATCAACAGATCTTCATTATTTATCAATGTATCAAGGTTTGAAATCCAGTCTGATGTTTACTGATTGTAAATGTCTGCATATAATAAGTCTATACGTTCATCATATTTAATTTCAAAATTCAGTCAATGGGATAAGACTCATGTAGCAATTGCTCTATAATTTGGATGTTTGTAGAATGTATGAACCATTAAACTGACTGAATGTCAAATTATTTGGCGCTGATTGTCCACATCTAATGGTTGATATTATACTGTTATTTTATGGTGAAGACAATGCAATGGAACGACCTGTAACCGTGACCTTAAGGATGTCTGTTGGTATCTATTGGTGCTGGGGCGGTGGGGCTAGCCTAGTGGTTAAAGCGTTTGCTTGTCACGCCGAAGACCCGGGTTCTATTCCCTACATGGGTACAATGTGTGAAGCCCATTTCTGGTGTCCCCCGTCGTGATATTGCTGGAATATTGCTAAAAGCGGCGTAAAACCCAACTCACTCACTCATTGTTAGTGCTCTTCATGTAGCTGGTGTCCTGTCAATGCAGATTTTCAAATGTTAGGTAATGCAGGTAAGAATCATCCAAAATAGGGCATTATGTATACAACAAAAGCTGGAATTAATCCTATTTTTGACAGGTTCAGTGCTCTGAATTTGGTCCACCAGAACTGCTTCAAGACGATTTGGATCTGACTGAAATGGCACAGAAAATTATGAACAAAATATCTGAAAATTTTTTCATTTTATCTGTTATTATTTACCCAGTGGAAATTGAATGCTATAAATGTATTCTTTTACTATTTCCACTTATGGTCAGGCATTAGTTGATCATCCGTTGTTAATATACTAACATGTGACCAATCTTGACATTTGAACTGTATTACAAAATATGATGATGTTGAACTTCAAGTACTGAGTGGGGCAGTGGTGTAGCCTAGTGGTGAAAGCGTTCACTCGTCATGCCGAAGACCCAGGTTTGATTCCCCACATGGGTACATGTGAAGCCCATTTCTGGTGTCCCCTGCTATGGTATTGGTGGAATATTACTAAAAGCAGCATAAAACACAACTCACTCACTCACTCACTCACTCACTCACTCACTCACTCAAACACTCAAGCACTGAGTGGCCTTGTGTGAATTATTCACAGTTGATATCCCATATCTGAAACAGCAATTCAAACTTTACCTTTATCATCACTATCACAGAATTTCCTGTCATGCATGAAGTTCTGCAGAATAAATTACAAGATAACCTATATTTTTAGAGTTTGATATCTGTTATACTTTAGAGGGCTCCTACATAAATAATTGATACACATATTGATTGCTACTCCTTGCATTATGTAGATGAAACATTTTGCAGTTATTCAACTGAAGAACAGAGAGAGAAGTTTTAGGAAATGTGATTGGAACATTAGCATAATAAAACCATTACTCAATGAAAAACTTTATTGCATCCAACGGCATGGTGTGGAATACATCCTGTGCAATAAGTAGCTATAAAATATTGATATTATATTTCATCTCGCCAACACCATAACACAGGGGATATGCATGAAACAATATCTGATAGTTATTTTCAACAGTAAACAGCTGTTGGTTGTAACAGCTTGCATTGAACTGTGTAATAAAAGAATATATCCCCCTGTATGATGGAAATGCATTGTTGGGAGATGTTATCAAATATTGATGCTGACATGTTTTCATGTCTCTGTACATGTGGAATGTGTAGGAGAAATACATTGTTCATTTCAAGGACTGTTAAGTTTTGTTTTGCCCTTAGCATGCTGTTCACTGCAGTACCGATAGGAAAAATACAAGGTGATATCAAATAGACATATAAAATCTTAATAATTATGGTGTATTTGCAGGTGTCAATCTAATCAGATGGCGTAGGTTTAGTGTTTCAGAATCCACTGACAGGCATATATTAATACAGGATAAGGGTGAAATGGAACCTTCTAAGTATTAACTGTAATATGTAGGGAAAATACATCTATGGTGGTGAATTACGTTCAGTCATTTACTTAAAAAGTAGGTAAATATAATCAATGTAACATGTATACATGATGGAATATATAGAGTTAAGCAATAACTCAAGTGTCCATTAGTATGTACTATGGAATAACAGGAATATCACATTATTACTCTGTATTAAAAGTAAAATATATTATTGCAGGATAATGAAGTTATGAAATTTGTCTTGAGGTAATTGCTTTTATTTGTTTAAATACTTTTTAAGATGTGAAATGAAACCTTTGATCTTTTACTTGGTAAGATAAAAATGTTGTTTAAGAAAGCATGACTATGATATTTATCTTATAGTCATTTACATAATCGTTTGATGGAAACATGCAGATTTCATTTGGCAGCCTTGTTAAGAATGTAGACCAAATCATCCATAGCATGTTTAATTGATAAGATTAGTTTCAATAAGATGTGTTATCAGTTATAAGTTTCTTGTATCTGATACTGTATAATCCTGAAGGCATGGGTGGTCCAGTTGTCTAGCCCGCTACATTGTGCTATACAGAGTAGCATCCCTTAGGTGTACTGGAAAGCTGTAATCAATAATATCATTTGAAGCAGCATAAAAACTAACTTACTCACTAACTCACCTACAGCCACATGATAGGGAGAACCGAGACGTGCACAAGTCTCTAAGGTAATAATTAATAGTTTAAATGATAATTTGTCAAAAAATAGTAATAACAGACTTGGGTCCTTAGACTTCTGCTTATCTGGACTTGACACGTGAAGGTATGGGTTAGAATTGATCTTTAGTAACCCATGCTTGTCGTAAGAGGCGACTAACAGGATCTGGTGGTCAGGCTCGCTGACTTGGTTGACACATGTCATCGGTTCTCAATTGCGTAGATCAATGCTCATGCTGTTGATCACTGGATTGTCTGGTCCGGACTTGGTTATTTACAGACCCTGCCACCATATAGCTGGAATATTGCTGAGTGCGGCATAAACCTAAACTCACTCACTCAATTATCTAGACTTGCCTCTTTAAAGGTTAGAATTACTATACATGCATGGGCCCAGCACACAGTACATCCTTGGAGCAAGGATAGGGAGAACCTACCTTCCAGACATCTTTCTTGAGGAGGTATATCGAAACAAGAATGCCATTATATGCCCCATTATTAATCCAGACAATTGTCTTGATTTAAGGTGTTGGTATAAGTGATTATATTGAAGTAAAAAACGAGAATCAATTGTGCAGGTAGTTAGGCACGGAGCAGGCAAACCATCAATGCCATCAAGGTTCATCATGTACAATCAACTAGGTCAAATCTGATCATTGGTATTCCTCCTGAAACTCTTGTCACCATTTTTACCACAAGCACAGGACAACAGTGAACCTCAAACCTTAAACCTACCAGTTTTTCCATGACTAGAATAGGTCTCCAGCAGCCCATGCTATTAGTGAAAGGTGTGACACAATGGAACAGTCAGTAGGTCTTGGGGACACCCAATCTAATCCCAGTGGTGTGGATAACTGGGCTGTCTGGTGCAGATGGTCAGTTTCTGGATCATGGTTACCTCTGCGGAACTATATGTGTTGTTTTGTTTTTGTCAATCCGACAATATCAAATGTCAAGTTTATTGATGTCAAAGATAGCTGAAATTTTCTGTTGTAGTTGTATCATACAGCACAGTGGTTATTTTTCCAGTTACGGTTAAACTCTAAGACTAGGGTAATCATTTTTTAAAAAGTTGTCTTGATGAAGGTCAAGCTATGTTGCTTGACTGGAACTATATGATGGTACATTAAAACGTTCAGATTTGAGAAAATTGTGGTTCTGTTTCAGCAAGTAAATGAAAATGCTTAAAATGTTATAATAATTTGACTCTCCGCTGTGACAAGCACAAACTAAGCATGCATGGTTACTTTGATGACTGTAATACCGTCCAGTCAGGCTGACAAGAACTTCCGATCCCTTGTCTTAGTGTATCCATTTTGATTTTGACTAATTTGATTCAACCAACCATAAGATAATGAATTATAATACTGTTGTTCTCTCTTTCAGAAACAATATTTGATGAAGGATTGGATGGTGAAGAAGTAGACAGAGATTCTGCACATCAGCCTGTCATGTCTGGCATGTTTATCACAACTTAAAAAGAAAGGATCTTCCGTACTGCTGTTTAATGATTAGGATCCTACCTAAAGAGCACTGGTGTCAGATGATGTGTTAGGAATACCATGTTACAGGTACAAAATAGTTACTCTTTCATGCACTTGTCCTTGTACCCTGAAGTTGAAGAAACATTCTCATAGAACATTGAATGGATAAGATGGTGTGCTAGCATTGCTACCATTGATAAAATGACGCTTCACAGCAACATGCGTGTCTGCACAAATGTGTGCAAATGACCACTGGATATTCCTATCTCTCTTCTCGAGGATATCAGCAGTACATTGTGTGCAAATGACCACTGGATATTCTTATCTCTCTTGTCGAGGATATCAGCAGTACAATGTGTGCAAATGACCACTGGATATTCCTATCTCTCCTTGTCGAGGATATCAGCAGTACATTGCAGTGGAATATGATATCGATGCAGGACAGACTGACACTTATTGCACAGAACGTAATAATTCACGTATTGCACAGAATGTAATAACTCATTTTGACAAGCAGAGTACTTACATTGGCTGTGTGTATGTATGTAGTATGATATACTCACCTACATACATTGAACGACAACGCACATATTGATTTCAACAGAAAGCGCTGACAGAGGAAATTTCAGCACTAATGCAGATTTCGTTGTGCAAGGGCGGCGGTTTCACCATCTGGGGAGCGTGTATTTCATATTTGGAGGCGCTATATACTTTAGAGGAACCTGTGTTGCAAGTTGCAAATGGAAATTTTGTATTGTGATGTATTCCCGAAAATACTGTGAGTCCTTTTACTAGGATATCCGTGCAGTTTGTTGGAAGCAGTCACAGTAATCACAGGTAATGTCCTACAGGATGTGCTATTGATTCAAATTCTTATGTAAAGTGAGAGCAGTTTTATTGTCGCCTTGAAGGATCATAACACCATCATCATGGACAATTGTATTTCAATTTAAGATGTTTTATTTCCTACAAAATCAAAGACAAGATGGATGATAACATGTGTAATTGGGCAAAACATGCTTGATGATCCAGAAGCAGAAAGGAAGTGAAACATGAATCCAATAAACAGAGATTTCAAATGTGTAATCAGGCACCTGAAGAACAGGTCACAAGAGGATTAAGTGCAGAAAGTGGATTAGCTTCACAAATGCATGTTTTCCTCATACAAGCACATTTGATGTGTAGTTTATATGGTGTTGTTCTTGATGCCATTGATTTCAAGGCAGCAGCTGTCTTTGTGTGGTTAAAGAGATTGTGTTTGTACCTGTATGATTGCAGCAAATGCATGTTGATGCTTACCAACTGCTGTAAAATTGAATCTTTGGAGAAGCCCCAGCATATCAAGATAGTGTGTTCTCATTGAGTGTAGCATTTTGGCAATTACTGAATCTGATGTGAGAGTTCATTCCAAATGCTTGATGAGGAACTGAGATTTCTACTGTGTGAGATTGATAAGGAACAAGTTCAAACTAATCATTCAGTGTGTGTTGTAATGTTCATAGATGAAAACCAAAAAGGATTGGAAAGTTCCCCATCAGCATAGCACAGAATGTTCCTCAGCTGCATTGTGTCCATATCGTCATGATGGAAGTGAAACAACAGTACTATTAGTCTAGTGCTGCCAAATCGGAAAGATGTATTCTTTATTACATTATCCTAAGGAGTACAGCCAGTGGAGATTGTTGTGTTCGTCCAAAGTATCACAGACAAATGTAAGATCCAACTGGGAGTAGCTCTTCAGGAATTGATGTCATCCAGCAAATAGTCACTCTTGCCAAAAGAGTAAATTGTGCCAATGAGCTGAAAATAGTTTTTATATATTCCTTTACCTGGAGGTATTCGAGGCTGGTCATTATTGCTTTGTCAAGCAATTCTGTCTTCCTGGATTGGATGTATGTGTTCTTCATCATCATGAAATATTACATTGACATCATGAATATTGTTTCATTTCTTTGTGATTGACTAAGAATCATTTTTGGGTCTGAATCCTGCATCATTTTGCAACCCCAAAAACATTTTTAGAAACCAGATTTGAAGATTTACTCATGTATACTTCTGTTACATGGGGGATATTTGTCAAATGTAGTGTTTATGGAGATCTAAGTTTTCATTTCAAAAGCTGTATGTTGATCATAGACACCGTAAAACCTTCAGTTACATTTTAGTATGTAATAATCAATTTTCATTTTTGTATTTTATCAATATTTCTTGAAAAACAATGTTACATCATTCAATATAAATGTATAAGAATTATTAATATTTTCTAAATCATGTCAAACTATTAAAATACTGAACTCTGCTACTAATATTGTAATGCAGGTCTCTTGTTTCATGTTTAGAAACCAGGAATCTGGGCAGTTGTAATAACCATTCTGCATTTGTTGTTATGATATACCCAAATGATAAAATAAAATATACTTTTTTGAAAAGGTATAATTTCCTGTGCTATATAGTTCCATAATAAAATAGTCATTCTCTCTGAATATTTCATGAAACAGTTTAAACATCAGATATTGTTTCACTGTTCATATGCCAGTAATAAATTCTTTAATATAGTTTATTCTTGTTCATAAAATGCAGCCTAGAATTCAAAACTATATGCAAAATTTATATGCCTGTTATTGTTTATTATAAACATGAGTGATGGGTATTGTTTAGAAAATGCATAATTCATCATGAAAATACCGTAGCACAAAGACAGGATTACAAAGGTTGCTATGACCGAAGCCAAACATTCATTACGATTCATGCCACTTATGTTATATGTATTCAATACGGATTCAGCGAAATGTGAGTAATTACATTTGTCAAGCTGGCATCCTCTGACTTGCATTAGGAACTCAGTCAGGTTTATTGTTTAGAAACATGCATTCATTTATGTATTATCCCATGTGGAATTAGTTTGAGAAATTCAATATAATAAGAATCTGTAGCATAATTTTCTGTTTTAAAATATATTTTAGGTGAAAATTGGTGTTCTATATACCTTAACCATGATAACATATCAATGTATATATATTGTGATAATTTTCAATACTATCATCATCAACCTCAGAAGCTTTGGTATTCTGCAAAGTTGGGGCATGGGTGGCCCAGTCATGTAAGGGTGATAACTCATGCTGGAAACTTCTGATTGTGGGTTCTAAATCCAGGTCACCCTCATTATGTTCACAGATGTGTCAACACCATATGTATGGCGATTAGGGCTGTAACAATGCATCGAACTATCGATGGATTGCAATTGTTGAGTCTCAGATAGCAATTAATCAATGGCAGAAACCAAAAACTATTGATGCATCGATAGTATGTGTGACTATCAATAGTTTAGTAATTGACTTCCATTGATAAATGCGCAGTGCAAAATACAGGAAGTACCAGATTCTTCACTTTGATTTCAGTTATCCACCCCTGTTACCTGTTTACTTGATCTGGGTTTCAAGTTACTTGTCAATTATCAAAAGAGACTGAAACTACTTCAACTTGTTTTTATTTCATATAAATTCTACATTCATTTGGGAAATGACTTCAAATGAGACAAGTCAAGGAGAGAAAACATTTATTGCAATAGTATTGCAATAGTTGGTCGCAATTGACTATCGCTATCACAATAGTTGGTCACAATAGACAATCGCTACCACAATAGTATGTTGCAATAGACTATCGCTATCACAATAGTTGGTCGCAATAGACAATCGCTACCACAATAGTATGTTGCAATAGACTATCGCTATCACACTAGTTGGTCGCAATAGACAATCGCTACCGCAATAGTATGTTGCAATAGACTATCGCTATCGCAATAGTTGGTCACAATAGACAGTCGCTACCGCTATAGTATGTTGCAATAGACTATCGCTATCGCAATAGTTGGTCACACTAGAAAATCACCTCCGCAATAGTATGTTGCAATAGACTATCGCTATCACAATAGTTGGTCGCAATAGACAGTCGCTACCGCAATAGTATGTTGCAATAGACTATCGCTATCGCAATAGTTGGTCACAATAGACAGTCGCTACCGCTATAGTATGTTGCAATAGACTATCTCTATCGCAATAGTTGGTCACAATAGACAGTCGCTACCGCTATAGTATGTTGCAATAGACTATCTCTATCGCAATAGTTGGTCACAATAGACAGTCGCTACCGCTATAGTATGTTGCAATAGACTATCTCTATCGCAATAGTTGGTCACAATAGTCAATCGCTACCGCAATAGTTGTTTCCCCTTGATAGTCACCCCAAATGGCGTGGGTCTTCACCAATGTTATTAACATCTGAGACATGCATTGCTTCAGGCTTTCCTCTCATGTTGAACTCACATGTCATGATAAGGCTGGAATACTGTCTAAATGGGCATTCTCACTCACCCATTCACGCATATATAAGTTAAATTGAAATTACAGATTTTCCAATTTGGGTTATGGAAGACATGGACATCTATTTGCAGTTACATTTTATTTCTTTTGAAATCCAGTGCAATTAAAATGTCATGAGTCGAATGAAACCTATGCGGCTGAGCCATGTGATTTTACTGAATTATTGATCCCTTAATTTTGCCTACTCAGAAGTGCCAAGGAGCCCTATAATCAAACCAATACCTTATTCCCTTCAGCAAATAATCTGGACAATGATTTACAAGAATAAAATCAGATATTCCTTATTAAAAATTCCTTTCATGTCATTCGTGATCGATTGTGTTGGAATATTGTTTCCCCTGCAGTCTGGGAGCCTCCGCATCCACTGTTCCCATCGTTAATTATTGATGCGCACACATGATGCAAATTTGAAGAGTTTGGATAATGTGTCAAATTAGGTGGCAGGATCAAAAGGGATGGTGGTTAGATGACACTATGTCACACATGTTGTTAGTTCTCACGGAAATTCACATCTTTTCTGATGACCTGGTCAAGACATCAAGTCTTAAAGCCGAGTACTGTGGGAGAGTTTTTACAAGTTCATTTTATTGTCTGAAAATGTGTTTTTGATATTCTTAAAATGTTTATTAAAACTAGGAAAAAGTAGCAAGGGTTTTTATCATTTTTGTCAATCACAACTGTGTATATATAACCTGCGATCAGTTTATAAAATGAGACGAACAAGTTTATTAATGTTGAGCTATTTAAATCCTGGTTCCTTCTGATTTCTGGACATAACTTGAATATTTGAATCTTCTTTTCATGTTGTTTTGAGGCCTCCATGAAAAACAATATCAGGCAATAAGGTTTAATTAGGCAAAACATTTCTTCTACAGTTTTAGTTTATTTGAGATTTTCAGATTTCCACATGCACTTTTATCTCTAACATAAAAGACATCTTCTTGCTGTGTATGACCATGGCCTTGTTCACAAAGTGATCTTAGCCCTATGATCATTGTAAGTCTGTGTTAAAATACATGTATAGTAATTACAATTATTCAGCACTAAGATTACTTTTGTGAAATCCAGTTGCGCAGATCGATGCTCATGCTGTTGATCACTGGATTGTCTGGTCCAGACTCGATTATTTACAGACCGTCGCCATATAGCTGGAATATTGCTGAGTGCGGTGTAAGACTAAACTCACTCACTCACTTTTGTGAAATGGGGCGCTGTTCTGACCATGTAGCCTAATGGTTAAAGCGTCAGCTTGTCACACTGAAAACCCAGGTTTGATCCTCAAGCATAGTCATTCACTCACTCACTCACTCAATCCCTATTGGATTCAAATGGGCAGCTTGGAATGATTTAGATGAAGCCAGATGGACAGATAAGTTGTTTCAGTTCTCATCTTATGTCCAACATATTTATGTCTCTATATACATTACAGTAGGTTAAGATACAGGGGCCTTTACTGATGAAATTGTATGGTATTACATTTAGCAAATTTCACAGACAACTTATATACATCTCCTGTATGAACAAACGCAATGAAAATATGCTTTAGCATCATTGTGTATAAATAGGATTTGGTTACAAGTTTTGGTAGATTTCACTGGATGTAAGTCAATGTAAAAGTTCCAAGTTCCAGAAATGGTTTAATAAGCTACTAAAATAACAGGTTCTTTAAAGCAGATACAAGTTATTATGACATGACAATTTATTGAGACATACATTTGATCACCCACTCAATAACTTCAGAGGGGGCTTCAGTGTCATCAAAACAACAAGATTTGAAGACTAATTTAAAAGAAACTGGTGCCTGACTCTGAGGGTGTGGGTTCGAATCCCGGATGGGACTCAACCCAACAAAGTACTAGAATCTCTACTTTACTAAGAAAGTGTAATCCCAAATACAACATATGTTACATTAACCGCTTTCTAAATGGCATTGTGTACTCATCATTTATTAGACTCACATCAAAATCAGTTGACATAATATGACCTGAAATGTTACATGGATGCATGCAGTCACTAGGTTTTGACCAACAAAGTGTCAACGTTGTAATGACACTGATGTATGCAGGATTGTGTTTGTCCTGCATTGTTGTTCATTTGATAAACACATTGCCTGTCACAAGGAGGATTTACTATCCATTTGTCTCATGAATATTTAAATATTGGTTACTGTCAACAAAATGCATACCATCCATGTCAATCTAAGCATTTCCTGACACCTGTCAGATTTAATCCTATGTACATAACAGGGCTGTTACTTAGATTAATAATTCACTAATTACAGAAGCTTGACACACTGATAAGATATTTCAGATGGCTATTACAAAGTGTGACCGATATGTACATAGATAAATATACCAACCACATGTCTTTGTTCCTTCAGCACAACACAAAATACCCTTGACAGCTGAAAACTACACTTTAAATCATTAATATTAATTAAATTTATTCAACCATGACTTTCATGCTTCTGTAAACTTGCCATTGAACTCCACGGGTGATAGCAAAATATAAAAGTCATTCTGTATTTAAATTGAATCATAATGTTAGTTATTCAAATTATTCTATGGTATTCATGTGGTACGAATGAATGTAATTGAATGATATGTTAATTTTGTTATTAGAAATATTGATAGGTAGATTCTGTGTTTGGTGGCTGGGGGAAGTGGATGTTTGTGTTTCAGGTAGGTCAGAGAGGCCCTTCTATAGATTGGTATGAAATTAAAAGGAGACCTGTCATAACAGTAAATGTCACCATTCTCATTTTCCTTTTATTTGTGGGGCGGTGGGGTAGCCTAGTGGTTAAAGCGTCCGCTCGTCACGCCGAAGACCTGACTTCAATTCCCCACATGGGTACAATGTGTGAAGCCCATTTGTGGTGTCCCCTGCCGTGATATTGCTGGAATATTGCTAAAAGCGGCGGCGTAAAACCAAACTCACTCACTCACTCCTTTTATTTGCCCTTTTAAAAACATTTTAGACAGGCAAACAGCTTCAGTTTGCCATGTTTTCATGTTCATCAATAATTTATTTCCTCCTGTGTGTTAGTAAGAGT